ATCGAGTGCGCGAGGAGTTAAACAACAGGATTCAGGTCCTTGACGAAGCACAAAAGACTTTGGAAAGCTTGGAGGTAAATGTATCAACTAACCACTTATTTATGACAGATAAGTATAAATTAAGCAATTTTAAGGCTGTTTTCATTGATTATAGTTCTTAATAATACAATTAAAACAAGGTTGCGAACCGATCTAACAATGCATAAAATGTAAGATCCAAATTTGAATGCATATTTCTCTAGACATATTGGCATAATGTCCAATGTGGCCAGGTAGGTATTTTACCTGTAGCAAGGCTCTTAAAATCCCATTGTTTTAAGCACTTTGAATATAGAGTTGAGCTTCTTTTAAAATTTTTAATATTGGGCATATTTATTTGCTTCACGGACTTTGGCTAGACCCTGATCATTTTTGAGCTTACAAAGTTGGACACAAGTCTGATTAAGTGATGATATTTTGTCTCCATGTAAGATAGAGAGAGTGGACATAAAAGAGGGGAAAATTGACCGTAATTAGAACTGAGACAGAAAATACTAGGTAAGTCGCATCTTTTTTTCAGGTGGCTCAATACCCTTACCAAGCGTCATTAATAGACTCAAGGATATAGAGGGTGTTGAGGCACTTAAAAAATGAGGCGACTCAAATACTATTTCTTGTCTTGGTTCTAATTACGGTCACATTTCTGTTCTCAAAGTCCCCTCTTTCTCTAGCACATGAAGGTAAAAAGTTCATCAACTTAACCAGATGTTTGCCATCAAACATGGACGGACGAGAACAGACGTTAGTGCCTTGCGCCAGTTACTTTGGGACATCATTACTGATTTTGAAAATATACCAATACATGAAAGAACATAAACGCATACAGAGAAATGCATTCACATGCTTCTGAGTTGATATTTGGCCTAAGCTAATCGAATCCCTTTTTGCCTCATCAAATAGCTTAGATAAAAGGTATATATACTGCATTTAAGTATAAAATATTGAGTTTTATTGACTTGTTAGCTTGAATATGGTTGTAAGAATGATACTCTGCTCTAATGATGTCCGTCATACGACGGACGAAAGCCTAGTACATTTTCACCGGAATCAGAAGGGTTTGCCTTGGAAATAGCGTGAACAGGAAGGTTCTAGTAAAGCCAATCGACAGCAGGTCAGACCTTTTATTTTTGTATCTTTTTAAATTACACTGACGAGCTTTTTTGGAGAAATATTTAGACAATATTTCAGTCTGTAATAGCATCTAAGTAATTGGTTTTCTCCTATGGCCTGAATTATCGTGTTAGCAATGCATTTTAAAGCACTGTAGGTAAACTTTCAAGGACTTTTGGTTAGGTGAATTTATGGTTTCCTTAGACATTCTCACACAAACACAAGTACTAGGATGTTTAGGTTTTGTGTTATCTAAGTATTATACAACTGTATAGAAAATGCAAATAAATGCTAAGCATATACTATTGTCAAGGGCATAATCAACGCTGAAGAGCATCTCCTGAATCCGAAACCCCGAATCGTTTCGAAAGCTATGATTTAAGTCATACTTGTAGTCAAGCCATAGATGCTTTCCCTATAATACAATTAAAGGAGCGAATTTAATGAGATTCCATATAGAAAATAGATATCTAAATTTCTTTCAATATACTCATATACCGCAAGCTAATGCACCACATCATATAAAAAACAAATTGACATGGATTAGAATGTTCTAGACTTACTACAAGATTTGGGTTTTTAGACAGGCCTCCCATGCTGGCAAATAGCCTATATCAGTGTTTCCCAAACTTTTCCTAGTCGCGGCGCCCTTTTTCAATTAAAATTTTTCAATGGCGCCCTACCCTAAGTATGACTATTCATAAGTAAGAGATAAAAATAAATAAAACTTGTGTATCCTTATTATTATTTTTACTTCATTAACATTAAATTACTATTTAATAATTAATGTGATGGATGAGCCTGCAAATCACTACACATTTTCTCAAATTGAAGCTTTTACAATATTTCGCGGCGCACAGTTTGGGAATCACTGGCCTATATGCTCCTACTCAGGTAGTGAATGACTAAGTGCCTGAGCAGGCCTGGTTTAACTCACTCGATGAGGACAATACTCAGCATTTCAACAGCTCAGCCATCAGAGCCATTTGCGCTGTTAATTAAGCATATTTCTAGCTATTTAAAACATTAGCATGTTCTCCTGCTTAATTTTATACTTCAATTTATGCCCTACAGTTAAGACTTAGTCAAGTGTCTGACGAGTATACCCAACTGAAGTTAGAGCGCAACAAATGCGTCAGTTTATTGCAGACTGCGATGAAGGTCAGTTTAGACACAAGGGAGCGCCTCAAGCTGCACACAAACGAGGCTGAGATTTTTGTCACTTGGGTGCACCGGCAGGAACAAGCAATTATGCGCGAACGCCGTCTGCATACAACAGTACTCGTGATGCGCGACCATCGTAGACACGAGGTCTGCAAACTTGCAGCTGTTCACCAGGAGCAGCATTGGAAGCGTGAGCAGATGAGACAGGCTATTCAGCGGCTGAACGCCATGTACAATCAGACAGAAGCAGAGATCATCAGCATGAAAAAGGCTTGCGATCGCAACGCTCGCCTCCGTAACGAGCGGGCAATGCTGCTAATAGAACGTAACCAGGAGGTGTACATTCTTCAGGTAGCCAAAGTTTTCAGATAGTTTTAACTTTGGGCTTCCATTTGACTAATAGCGGAGAATTGCGGCGCTCCGTTCATAATGAGGAAATTATTGATTCAAGCTACATATTGCTATTTATTAACTATTTTCCAGAAACAGGAAAACCTAAACATATTTATCTTGAGAATTGGCTATGATACATTACGACCAGTTATTAGGATTCCTTCTGGAGGATAAGCGACAAGAATGAGATTATTTAAGAGCCTCTCATCTCTAAAGATTATAGTAATCACGTATGTGAAGATGCTCCTATTTTGTAATCCTTGATATAGAGCAAAAAAAGCTTGATTATTTATGTGAATTAATTGTAAAGCCTTAAAATTTTGTAATTACTAGACCTTGGTAAATCAATTTCCTTACTTTGAAATCCACCTTGTCATTTTTCTTCTCACTAGAGCTGAAAGCTCTCTCTGACTGTACGCAACATGAGAATGACCAACGGTAAATGTAAATTGATAACTAGCATCACAGTTGGCAAGTATAGACCGATGAAAAATGCAAATAGGGGTTTGATTATGGGTACCCAAAGCTAGCTTTTAATAGAGTAAATTTGGTTCCAAGAATCAATTGATTCATAAGAGGACATCTATTTCAAACTTCCTTTACAGATAATCTAAACCATACTCTAAATTTATCCTTCGAAGAAGCAATCTTTGGGGAAGGCTTGTTCAGGGAATTTAATGCCCTCTGAGTCACTTACGTACATATTTTCAGAACACCGTTAGTGATTTAGTTGTTTCAACTTTGACTCATCCCAATATGTCTGGAATAAGTAAACTAAGCAAGATACCAAGTCAACGGTTGGATGCTAGAAATCATTATTAACACTATGCAAGAGGATGCCTGACTAAGTAGGTTCTACAAGATCTCTCTGTCGTTCCGACCAAGTTGCGAAAAACATACCAAACCAACAATATACAGCGAAAGAGTCCGCGACAAAACCTTAAGATACACTATCTTGGTCTTTCTATCTTCGATAGAATTACTTATTTTCGTTTATAATCAGGCTTTCGAAATTACGAGCAAATCACCCTTTTTCATTTAAGGTATGGAATAATTGTATTCAGCTGTAATAGTAAATACAACTTTGCTTCATCGACACTCTTACCACGGAATGTGATATGGTAAAGGTCTAGGCATCCTTGAAATTAGTTGTTATCCTGTGACCAAAGGGCGCTTGTGGAAGTGTGACGTAGTGGCTAATGTGTCGAGACTATACGCTGCAATACCCGGTTTCTAGTCCCGCTGCGGGTGCTGATGAGATCTAGGCGAGGTAAAAACTGCAGTGCACCCTAGATGAGAATACTCTTTGGAAAGCAAAGCTATATAAAATTCAATAAAAATTTGAGGCCTTTTAGGGTTAATTAATCTTATAAACTTGTATATTTTACCTCAGTTACGCTACGTGTATTAATCATAAATAGGTTTCGAGACTATCACTAGGTTATTGCAGTCCCATATGAAAGAACTACCCTTTAATGTAAATAATGTCTTCCTTGTGAGTCAGGGGCCCTCATGGCATTTCGATGTAGCGGTGAGATGTTGAAGATAAATGCCGCATTGCATTGGTTCAATCTCGTTGGAAAGCCTGCTGAGGCACAGACGAGGTCAAAATGGAGTCAGCTCTGTTTGAGAATTGGTTTTGAAAAGCAAGGCTAATTTAAATTAAATGCTCCTAAGAGGCCTACTTACAATATTGAGGGTAAAATTCAACTCTTAGTCGTTAATCCCCTTATACAACATAGGGTGACTGAAACTTATATACAGTAATATAAAAACTAGATGTGTATAAATTTTAAACTACGAGGAGTCATAGGCTTGGAATGCACTCTCATAGAGCCGGACAGGCACTGCTTATACTATTCTGAGTTGGAATTCGTGAGTAAGACTTGAAAATCTGTAGAAATTGACTTAGTCTTAAAAAACAATATGCTCTAAAAGTGATATTTATGACAGCTTTTGTTCGATTGAGTGGCATTTATTTAATAATCAGATAATTCATCATAATAATATTTGTCTCTTTACAACTAGGAACGAGCAAAAGCCCAGGAAATGTCAGAAAGGCAAGCCCTAATTGACTTGAGAGGTCTGGATGCACAATATCAATGTTTTAAGCTATACAGCAAGCAAGTAGAACGTTACACAAACCTATTCAAAGATCAGGTGCCGAAGAAGCATCAACTCGAGTCCAGAGTGAAGGCTCTAATACACGAGGTGAGAGAAAATTGGCATCAAGTTTATCTATTTGATTTTTTAGGATTTGGCATGTTGATTTTCTTTTGCACAGAATATCCCTCATGACATGCAATTCTTCCTCTTAATGTATTTATGATGATGCGGTGTTGTGATCTGATTATTAAATGCACAGCTCAGGGGAACTGAACTGAAGCAGGTTGATTAGACAGGGGATGAAACAGGAAATAGAAGAATGTACTGGAGAGGT